ACAGATATTGAGGGAGCAAATCTGAGCTCTGCTTTGAAGCTGTCAATAATACGATGGACGAAAGCTTAGCACGTTTTCACCGGAATCGAAGTAAATTACCTCAGAAACAACGTCAACAAGAATGTTCCAGTAAAGCCAATCGACAGTTGATCAAGAGGAATCTGCCGTCCTATTCTGGTGGAATCGACATTCGAATCTCTTCACCAAACACTTTCACTTAAAATAGAATGAGGTCAAGAAGTATAAACCAAGAGATTCCTCGAAACCCAACTTTCCTTTCCATATAATAAGAAGATAGTGGGAAATCCACGTGATGCCATGTGACGATGATAATCAGTAGTGAGAAAGAGTTAGGATAGGTCAGACAGAATTCCGGAGCAACCGAAATATAGTTTTTTCGTAGTTGATAAAGAGGTGATAAGGGCTGGACGGAATCTTGCCGAAATCATTCTGGATGCAAACGAAAGGTGCTCTTATTGCCAAAACTGAATTTCAAGGCTGAACGAACGTAAAAAGCGTCTTGGCGTGCAATAACCCCAAGAAGGTGGAAAACAGCAAGTTTTATATTTTGTCCAAAGGGATCAGGTAACTTTCGAACCCATAAAAAATGCGATTGCATCAAATAATCCCTAAAATAACCCACATACTGTTTGGGAATCCCCTAAAATAGATGGCACCGAGAAACTTTTGATAGAAGCAGAGAATCGATTGTATACGGAAGGACTAAAAGCTTGTGCCTCTGCAGGGGCTGGCAGTATGAAAAAGACCAAAGGGCTCCAACATAAAGGATATGTGAATGAGAAAACTATGATGGTATAACTGGAGACTGGCGAAACGAATATTTCCAGCTGCATTAGCGTCAAGTCAAAGCTTCGAAACCCGGTAGATAGTAATAAAACTAAAGACAATAAATCTAGAAGGATGAAGAAATAGAGTAAAACCAAGTAAGTCTGCAGTGGCCTACCCGCCTCCAGGAGAGGTTGATACTGTGTCACGTCAGGTTCGGAGGAGGCCTGCTTTCCTGACCAGCAAACATGCGAGCGAACATATCTGCCAGTTGAGCCGTTGGTAAGTAGGACGACAGCAAATGCCGCAAGGATGAGCAGGTTGCCAACATGAAAGATGGGCGAGTAGACCATCTGTTGTCGCGGAGAGGCGGGTGGCGAGGGTCAGGCAAAAAAGAAAGAAACAATAGCAACATGTGAGAGATCGTCCGAGTAGTGGGTACGCAATAGTGCCGAGTGGAGGAATGACGATGGGAGAAAAAGGACGATGGTTCAGGTGAAATGCAACTACTCATCATACAAGAGTGCTTTTTGCAGAGAATACTCAGCAGTGCCCGATACGCTTCTGAAATACTCTTGTGTGTAGTTGGGGCCGGGCTCTGTGGAAAAGCTAGAGTGGGTGACGCTGCAGTGCACTCGCGGCCACTAAGGGTCATGCTTCTGGAGGTATATGTCAAGAGTCCGACCATCTGATTGGCAGATGTGTGCAGACCTCGCCTCCCAGACATGTAGCCTCTAAAGGTGAAGGTGCTCAATTAAATCGTAAAATAGCACCTACGGGCTTCTAGAGACCAGTTGTTCTGGCTGAATCCCAGTCGGAGATCTCTTGAAAGTGAGACACACTCGCATAGGTCAAAAGCCTGCATTCTGAGCGCAAGAGATCATTAACCTGAGCAGCATTTAGCCAAAATCCAATCTCAAATTGAACAAGTAAGTAAGATCATTAAAGTCAGGTTAATGTGTGAAAGCCGAAAGATAATGTGGCTTGAGACTATATCAATCGTATTGCTGGCAGTAGGCTTAACTACTTTTGATCCGACATGACTATAATAATGCCGGGTTTGAAAAATTGGATATGAAAAGTAACTGGGTTTCGATGAATCTGCTGAGGGAACATTTTTGGGGAGACTTTCATTTCGAGTGAAAATTAGATCAGACCAGGTTTACTCGCTCATGCTTGAAATGATAAATTATTTTAGATTAATGAAACTATAAGTCTGTCGTCTCATAGACAAATCAGTGAAATTCTGTGAATATTAATCGACCAACTTTTACTTAGCCGTGCCTCCTTAAAAACTATCTCATCCGACTGGATTGGACTGCAGCTTCGACCAGTCTCATCAGCACCCCCAGAGGGATTCGACACCGGGCTGTGGGTATCGTAGCGATGTTACTTCTCCATTCCACGGCCACAAGTGCTGGCGGTCCACAAGGCAGATGCTAGAGTCAAGGCAAACCGGGCTTCTCTCAACACAAAAGTGCATTGAAAATTATGCAAGCATTTCTTTGCTATTGCAGTCGATTAAGTCACCTATTTTAGATAAGAATTGTCTTTGAGATTATCACTAATGCTTGAATGATAGTTGAGCTTTTCGATAATTAGTTCAACCACTGATAGTCCTGAAAACGTATCATATAGAAATTGAATAAGTTGATTTATTGCAAAGGCAAAAATATGCTTGCTTAATCGAC